AAAAGAGTTAGCACAAAGGATCACATATAAAGTGTAATAGACTTAAAATAAGACTCAAAACTCGAGCACTTTCGAATAGTTGACTATTCTTCTACAGGAGAACAAAGAGGTGACTTTGATATATCATAGAGACAAATAAATAGGGTGTATAACTGAAATTTTCAGTGAATTCCATTCATAACTGTGAATTAAAAGATATGATAAAATAACAATAATAATGTATAAAAACCAGATAACTGAGGCTCCGCGTGTGCATCAATTATCACCTTGATATAACTTTAAAAAGCATACTCATTACTATCTAAATCTCTAATAGATACCAATAATATATTACAAGTAACAAAAGGTGGGATATCGAAGTTATACCATCAAGATTAGTAACAAAACAAATTCATTATATCAGAGCATAATTTTGATGTAATGTAAAATCAAACCATAACAGGAACAGTTATCTGTCGTAGGCAAATTATCTATAAATATTATTGTGTTAGTTACAACGTATCAAGGGGTTAGGATGCGATATAAATACAAATTAAATCCTATTCATAGTAAATTGAAATTGTACGAGTATAAAATTTCAAATGCAACAGTCAGCTAAGTGATACGACAAAAAGTAAGAAACAGGTTAATAATATAACATATATAAAATATAAGTCATTCATAAAAAAGGCGGTAATAAATACATTTTGGCAGTAACAACTCCAGCACGAGTCGAGTAACAAAAGTACATTGTCGCATTCATTGTCATGAGTACAGGATGATAAAAGTTTAAATAAACGACCTTTACACTCCAGATGTAAATATATTTGTTTTTTTTATTACTACCAACGTTTCGCTTTTACAGCTTCTTCAGGCTTAATACATACAAACTGTTTGATATTATAATACATATACCAACAGGAGTTGTGATTTAATATAAATACAGGAGACAAATATAGCAGCTAAACTGATTAACTAATATGAATATAAGGCTAGTAACATATTCCAGAAATGGCGCGAAAACGATACAAAGAATAACCCACGTAAATCATTGAAAAACGAGTGAAAATAAATAAAAAACGCTCAAGTTAATGACACAGTCTAAATAAGATATGCTAACTGATAAAACAGTTTAGATAAATTGTAACGACTATACCATTGGGACATTAGATACAACTGATCACCAAAACTTTGAAACAGTCCAAATGCAAGTTAAACAAGTATATAGTAAACGCAGATAGGATATCAAAACCAGAACTAAAATACACTATCAAGATGATATATGGTGCTATAATAAATATAGTGGGGTCTACTAGTGCTATTAACTAATACATTAGTTTCATATCTATATTTCTCCTCACTGTGGCAAGTCTGAGGGCTTATAACGCTAAAACTCTGGTTCCGATATCCGCGATAAAGCAGTGCCTAGATTGCCCATTATATAACTTTGTGTTTAAAAACAAACATACTGATTGTGGAAGTTACTGGAAAACAATTTGGTTTATGTGTGTGTGTCTTCTAATCTCATGCTGATATACGAGTGTCTTTAGTCAGATAGCCGTCGTGTAGCTTTGCACGAAATTAAATAAACAACAAACGATGAAACGTGTGTGTGTCTTCCAATCTCATGCTGATATACGAGTGCCTTTAGTCAGACAGCCGTCGTGTAGCTTTGCGCGAACTTCGCACGAAATTAAATAAACAACAAACGATGAAACTAGCCGTCGTGTAGCTTTGTGTGTGTCTTCTAATCTCATGCTGATATACGAGTGTCTTTAGTCAGAATGCACGAAATTAAATAAACAACAAACGATGAAACAAAGCTACTCGAAGGCTAAATTAGCCGTCCCTAATTTAGAAGTGGTATACGAGAGGGAAGGCAGCTAGTCATCACCACCTACCGTCAACTCTTGGGCTACTCTTTTACCAATGAATAGTGGAATTGACCGTCACATTATAACGACCCCACGGCTGAAAGGGCGAGCATGTTTGGTGGGACGGGGATTCGAACTCGCGACCCTCAAATTACGAGTCAATTTAAGAAAGACTGACCTCATGTGGGTCTCCCAATTCACGTGAGTGCCCTAGGATATGGCGCAATTTTCATATATGTGTTAATCTGGCCTGAACTACAAAAGTATCACCAAAACTGTCATTTGAGACCTCCTTCCGTTCTTAAGGGAGAGGATTGGCGCCCCCAAATGACACCCCTGGTGAAAATTTGTTTCATTAATCAATCTTTCTTTTGATGACACAAAATCTATTCACACGTGCCAGACAAACATTACCCATTGTTATCTCAACATTACCCTTTGTTATCTCAACATTACCCGTTGTTATCTCATGATTGCGGAAGTTTTTTGGTTTAAAAAAATGATAACAAATTACCCCCACTCTCGGACCGTTTGTGTTACGCTCCTGATTTTCGCACTGAATAAGTCACGCACTTGGAGTTCGTTTCCTAAAATGCAATATAGCTCTGTAGTGAAAACATGTTTACAGGGTTTTGTTACTCCATTCGGTTACGATAATAAGTTATTTAAATGTTATGTTTTAATCCTAATCACAGTATTTTAACTATTATTTATTTATATTCATATGAATTAAAATAAAAGAATAACATTTATTGCATAAACAAATATAATGCACAAAATGTAAAGCTGGATTCTTAGTGTGTGGTAATTAACACGATCAGAAAAGAGTTTGGTTTCAATGTTTACTATGGAAAGAGATCCAAAATACCAGGTTTAGCATTCAGAATAAATAAAATTAAAATATATTCTACATGATATAACTAAGGTAATAATATACACAAACACATGTTTATATGTCAGAAAAGCCTTTTCCCATTTTTATTTTTATTCACTAGTAATCAATTAAACCGCATGACGGCGCTATTTGACGATGTGTTACAAAGTTTAGAAACAGTGGTCGGCACGTCAGTAACGGTTTGTGTTCAGCTGAAGTGATGCGTATGAAGAATATGAGTAGGATTTTCGTTACGTATTGGCAACGTAAGTATTTAAGCTTAGCTAGTAATATTTATATGAAAAAAATAATTCATGCTCATATCGTTAGTAGTTTTAAAAAGTGTCTTTTGTTCATAGTGGTTAAAGCACCAGCTACAGATGTAGAGCATGCTATTTACCAAACGAATGTCACGGCTTGTTAGTGTTAGTTTTGTAAGCATACAGATTATATAGAAGTTGGTCATTAATTAATTAATTATGCGCTTAAGCACGTTAATATGTAACACGAAATTTTTTTATTATGTTCATATTAATTTTAATTGTGGAAAGTATTTCAATATTTATCCAGTGGAATTTCAAAAGAAGCAACATAAAATTTCAAAAATCAATCTCTTAAGTACTTAATCCTTTCTGTTTTCACAAACAATAAATAAAGGTATTAATATATCCCAGCTAAATGTGTTAAGCACGAAAGCTTTCAAAAAGGTCATTGTTTAATCCTTGACAAGTTCAACCTGGTCTTTTAAAATCGACATAGAATTAAATTATACATTTGTTTGCAGTCTACCACTACTAATGTGTGAATACGGTATGTTCAGAATTGAATATCTGTGAACTGTTCAAAAATCTAATTGTTTGTTTGCCTGATGTTACTCTTGATTCCAGTACGATAAGAGAGAATATTAAATATATATACATACATATTGTAATCTTTTTTTACTGTTGGACGACTTCGTTTGCATTGTTCGATAAAAAACAGTCCAAAGTCCAGCCCACTCAATGATAGCAAAATCGTTATATTATTTTTACTACAAGTCATACGCTTACACGGTTTGACAAACTAATGACAGCCCTAATCTCTTAAATAAATTACGTCTCGATAAAAATCAAAAATTACTGGTTAAGTACCTCATATCTCTATTTCTTTGTTGAAAAACAAACTTAATCTTCACCAACGTGAAGAAACTCGCTAATTCAACAACCAATCAAAAACTCACTACTCTACATTAGTTTAACACAAACTTAATCTTCACGAACATGAAGAAACTCGCTAATTCAACAACCAATCAAAAACTCAATACTCTACATTAGTTTAACACAAACTTAATCTTCACGAACATGAAGAAACTCACTAATTCAACAACCAATCAAAAACTCACCACTCTACATTAGTTTAATACAAACTTAATCTTCACAAACATGAAGAAACTCGCTAATTCAACAACCAATCAAAAACTCACTACTCTACATTAATTTAACACAAACTTAATCTTCACGAACATGAAGAAACTCACTAATTCAACAACCAATCAAAAACTCACTACTCTACATTAGTTTAACACAAACTTAATCTTCACGAACATGAAGAAACTCACTAATTCAACAACCATTCAAACACTCACTACTCAACATTAGTTTAACACAAACATGAAGAAACTCGCTAACTCAACAACCAATCAAAAACTCACTACTCTACATTAGTTTAACACAAACTTAATCTTCACGAACATGAAGAAACTTGCTAATTCAACAACCAATCAAAAACTCACTACTCTACATTAGTTTAACACAAACTTAATCTTCACGAACATGAAGAAACTCGCTAATTCAACAACCAATCAAAAACTCACTATTCTACATATCTTATAATAATACACATGCATAGTATTTTATTACAATGAATAAAACAAATGACAATATATGGAAATGTTTAAATAAGTAGCGTTCCCTGACTATAAATCTGAAACGAATCCCCGTCGCACCAAACATGCTCGCCCTTTCAGCCGTGGGGGCGTTATAATGTGACGGTCAATCCCACTATTCGTTGGTAAAAAAGTAGCCCAAGAGTTGGCGGTGGGTGGTGATGACTAGCTGCCTTCCCTCTAGTCTTACACTGCTAAATTAGGGATAGCTAGCGCAGATAGCCCTCGTGTAGCTTTGCGCGAAATTCAAAAACAAACAAACAATAAATCTGAAAACTCTTGGTTCACGATTCATTGTTGCAAGAATAGGGTTGGGTGCGTTATAAGAGTGAGAGTCAAATTACACTAGCTGCTTTCCCTCTAGTCTGTGCGCAGATAGTTCTTATGTAGCTTGGTAAGAAATTATGAAATAAATAAATAAATCTGAAGTCTTCGTTGAGTTGAGTCTTGTAGGTGAAGTAGAATGCTACTTGTGAGTCACACATAACAACTTTACTTTAGAACTGTGTTTTAGTTTATTTTGATTGATCGGACAGCTTTTTGTTAGAAGTCAAACGTTAGGATATCAGGGTTATATTTATAAACCTTTTTTTTTTCAGCGATGTAAACGTTGAACATTGGCATGTTTAGGAGCTGTGGGTTTTAGTTTGTAAATTTAGGGTAGATTTCGTACTACGTTTTGTCTGAATTATTTTATATGACGAATAAACCTGTAGACTAAAATAACATTATTAGCAATTCTTGTCTACTTTTACTTTCAGAGTTTGTACGTGCATGTATATGAACAGTGACGACTAGTGTAGGAAGGTGAAACTATTTAACAAGTACCCCGAACCCGAGATGCGAAAGTCGAATAAACAGAAGAATGAGACAAAACGATCGCTTCTCCAGAAGGATTTGAATGAAACCCCAGCGTCATTGAACACTATTGGAAAGATTCATCTGTCATTATTAAACAGCGGTCTACTTCCAGTGACGGATGAAGCAAAGATCACTTCACTCATTCCCAAATCTCCTATCGAATTATCCAAATTTCCAAAGCATTTGGAGTTATTGAGGAAATATGATGTACTCTTACGCGCTGAGTTTCAAGTAAGAATAATTTCATGACTGTATTTTGTTTTCTACTTAAAATCAATATGGTAGGTTTACAGCAGTGTAACTAAATTTTGTGTACACGTCATCGTCGTTACCCTTATTCTACACTGCCTGACCACATATATAAAACAACGCAGTTCTAAGCGTCGTATTCCTGACTTGTTATCCAGACCGTTTGTAATGTTGCCTCATTTCGTTTTTCTTTTACACTATTTTCATTTTTAGTAATAAGATCGTTTGTTTGTTTGTTTGAAGTTAAGGACAAATGGGCTATCTGTGCTCTGCCCACCACGGGTACCGAAACCCGGTTTCTAGCGTTGTAAGTCTGCAGACATACCGCTGTGCCACTGGGGGGCTAGTAATAAGAAGTAAATATATTCCAAGAAAATGGTTAATTCTTACTGTTTAAACTATGCGCTTTTACAGTATTCGTT